ATGTTTATCAACGATTACAGCAGTTGATTTTTTAATCGCACATCTCATTTAATTCGGTCACTTTCACATAATTGCTAAATTTTCATCTTTGCTTGGCATTCATTACGATTAATAGAGTGCGCGAAGTGTTCTTGAATTTGCACGTCACTATTTTCGTCAGGTTTCCTCAGTTATTCAAGTCAATCTTGTGAATCTGTTGGAATGATTATTGAGAATTAGGTTGCATTTAATTTAGTACCCACCGTCCTCGTTCTTCCGATCCGATTTTGAACGACACTGACTCAGCCCATGGATGCTATATCGCTATCTCACCGGACGCATGAGTTCTATCTTATCACGAGCGATAAGGAAACTCGTAAAATATTTTAGCAGAACAGAGACAGAGCATGAGAGCTGCCTCTCGGAATTACAAACAGCCACGGGCACAAGGTTTGATGTAATGCGATACCAGCATTTGCTTGTATACCATTGGCTTTTTCTTTGTTTCTTCTTTTGGACTCATTAATAGATACTTCTTATTTTTCAAGCTCTCTTTTCCTGTGAAAATGAATAACTCACAATATATTGTTTGATCATTTTTGTTATTCATGAAACATAATATCCGAACGTTGCTTTTCCGTAATAATTTGGGAGAATAAACAACTTTTTAAATTAAAAAATATAACTCAGTACTCGCTGCAATGAGTGACAGAGAGCGCATTTTCTCGTCGACGAAAACATGAAGTCACGGACGGACGGACAGACGGACGGACGGACATGGCGAGCACAATAGTGAATTTTTTCCATAAATGAGAAAATGCGCTAAAAAGTAGCTTTTTGGAGAAAGCTGTGCATATTTTATTCAGTTCAACATAGAATGCATGCGAAGGCAAATGCTGTACAAATTCATTCTGGATTAAATTTTCGTAGACTACATCTTGTTAGCGCATTTTCTCATTTATGGAAAAAATGCACTATTGTGCTCGCTATGTCCGTCTGTCTGTCTGTCCGACTGTCCGTGACCTCAAGTTTTCGTCGACGAGAAAATGCGTTCTCTGTCACTCTCTGCAGTGAGTACTGAGTTAGATTTTTTTATCATTACAATATATATGTGCTATAATAATGTGGAGCGCTGGAAATTTTCGATGGGTAAATTGACATTCAATCCCTCGAGTTAGGTTCCAATGGCATTATATTACTGGCATAGCTGTTTTTCAGTGCAGAGGATCCTTCTCGCGTACAAGCGCTCATGGTTGACTGCATGTATAAGAGCTGTCACGGTTGCTGCTCATAATATATGCTCCCACCAGTCGAGCTACGCCGTTTGTTAAAGTGTATTTAAAACTAGTATTTAATGCGGCGGCTTTTAAGTGACGTCTGGCAGAGGAGCTTCAGAGATCACTTACAGCAGGAATTTGGGAGTCCCATTACAACCGATAGCGAAGGGGGATCTCACGGACGCGGTGATCAAGACTTTATATAAGGACACGGTTCTGAAACATGAAACTCAGGTACGAGTACTTTTCATTCATTATGGCCTGCTCCCGGCATGATTAAAGAAAAACAGAAAAATAAACACTTATTCACAAAACTTGTTTCAAATAATACGATACTACCTAAATAAACGTCTCCAATAAGAAAAGGAAATCAGTTCTTAACTATAACCATATGACAGTTCTTAACCATGAATCTTGTATGCCCTATTTCCGCAAACTTTCAATATAATACGATCAAAATAACGAAAAATTTAACATCCAGGAGCAAGTTTAATAATTCAATTTTGTGTTTACACGCATTATTAAACCGAATCCATTTGTTCGAAAAGACTCAAAAGAGCATGTGAAACTTATGAACGAATTTACTTATAAAATAAGTGAATCAGTCTTATCAACCAAAATAAAACGATAAAATAGTAAATTCGTTTGTATAATTAACTTCGTACAGAAAAGCGAATGATCGTTTTTATTGGATTTCTGTATTTCCGCCAAACGCTTTTTCCAAAACCGATCCTAACGCAGTAGTTTGGTCTACCAGGAAAGAGCAAGAAATAACTATTTTAAAATAGTTACAATGTTTTCGTAAACTGTGAGAAATACAGCAAATACGATGATTTTGAATTGCCTTTTGTGATATTTTTGACGTGTATGCATAAATTGGAGAAAATTCAATTTTAAAATTGAATTATACTCATAGGCCGAATGTTGGATGAATTCAATTTGACATTCTTGGCAGACCCTAATTCTATCGTGTGAGATAAGTTCATGCTAGATGACGATCGACTATTATAGGCCAGAAACATAATGTTCAGCGAACTTAAGTGTGCTTTCTTCCTTCTTTCCATGTCGAGGCTTTAGTACAAAATATGGGTCAGTAGTTTAAATCTAATAGATGTGAGCATGGATCTCCACAGGTTTGACGACCAATTGTCTGCGCACCCGACAAATAATGTCGGGTGCGCAGCCGTAGACCAGCAAATTAACGCTCAAATCAGCCCTGGAGCAAACATCAACCATCTAAATTCTTTAGATATTGTCATCCTGGCACCTAGGCAGCTGTAGTCAATTGACCTATCTCACCACACGAACTTTAAACCAACACTGCTTGCCCTTTAGCAGGCTTACGCACGGAAAGGAGGATGAAAGATATGCTGGTCTTGGGCAATGCTGGCCTCTGGCATGCATCCCCATGTGTCTTTCCTGCACCAGTCTGTGCCCACATCTCAGGCAGGCCAATAACTACTTTCAATTGAAAAGCTCATAGAATGGCCTGCGCACCAATATTTTTTCTATAGGATATGACGGTATCACTAGTTTTTGCTCTCGACGACGTTTAAATACGATTACATAACCCAAATAAAAATTAAGAATGGCACATCGATGACTATAGTAGGTGTCGATGGTAAATTATAGGTGGTGTAACGGTGGGTGACCGCATCTGCCAAAAATTGACAGTAAAACGCCAATAAATCGAGAGGATGGCTAGTATAGGTGGCGGTCATCTATGAATCCTAGATGGTTTATATTTTATATGGTTTGAATCATTGCTGTCGCATTGCAAGGAAACCTAATGTAAACCACCGATAACAGTTTGCCCAAACTGAGCAGTGCATGAAGAAATTTGCCACTATAATTTATCCAACGTAGAAAGAACATTGCTGATCATTCGAGATCAAGACGGAACCACAACTTCGTTCTGTGTGCTTGGCATGTAAGATTCTGATTCGAGAAAATTTAGCGAAAATGTAGCGTGAATTCGGTAGGTACGAGTAGAACTGAGAAACAGCAAGCAAGGTGTTCACAAATTTTCCAAGCCGAAGCAAAATCACGGGGCATGTATCAAACTGTTCTTGATATAAGTTGTCCGATGAATACTGAAAAAAATTTCTTTGTAAAAAATATAGTTTTCCATAAAATGATGGCGAATCCAATTTTTCACGTTTATTCGATATATTGCACAAATTTATTGCGAGTTTTGCGTATGCGCCAACTGGCTGTTGGAAATATTGCCATCAATTGAGGCTAAATTATTGTATCACTAAGTTTAAATTGTATGGATCGATTAAATGTATTTTTTAATATTTTCAAGTTGCAGCATTTATCTAAAGCCAGGTAGACATGGTCGACAGCGGCTCCGCAATCGGCATCTCTATAGAGGGAAGCGCGGTCGCGCGTCGGCGTTGAGCTTACTACATAATCTTTACCATCTCCTTCTTGGAATATGTGCTTTCCGGGTAATTTTCTTGTCAAAAAAGTATTGTTTTTACGCGGAGGGATACTAATAAAAATTCGACTTCTATCGCTGACTTCGATAGTGAAATTTTATTATTTAGGGGAAATTTGTTTACTTAGTCCGATAAATATTTTGATTTTAAGTCTGAATTTCGAATAAAGTGGTCCCGGTATCTTTCCTTTGCAAAAGCTTGAAGATTAGGCTAGAGAAAAATAGTGACTAGAAGTGGTGCAGGTAATTCACGCCTGACATTTCAAAATCATCGAATAATATCCATTCCTTATTTCACGCAATAATATTCTTGGTGAAAATATTTCGAATCAAGACTCAGTCAAAACTGGTGTAATAATTATGAAACTTCGATATCTATTAGGCATTATCCCGTAACCTTTACTCTGTTCTGAACCATCGTTCGTTATGGACGAAAGACGTTTCTTCCAGCAGCTGTTTACTTGCATATAGCAGCATGGTCAAATAAAATTGTTGATGGAACAATCTAAATATTACGGTGGCAGCATTAACCTTTGTCGTTTGATGAAATTAATACTTGCATTACTTCAGTAAAATATTTAAAAATGACTCTAGTGCCAAGTCCTCTCCGATGGCTATATGGTAGAGGCTCGGCTTCGCGTGGGGGAGATCGGAGTTTGAAACTGCAGGCAGGGACTTTCTTTGAGTCGATATCTCAGAGTATGGTACTCTGATAATTTGTTCCTGCTACATGTCTGACATTGTTACTTGTACTGTCATGTTGGATTTGCATACGTAGCCCTAGAATGGTGATTGTATGAAGCAATATCAATAAATGCAGAAGCATCGGATTTGAAATTAAAGGAAAAAAATTTATTGACTTCATTTCAAAGGTGGCCTTCGGTGGCTCATCGATGCGCCACCGGTGCCAATGGGTAGTTATTTGCGGAAGAAGAGCTTAACGGGTAGGGAGGCCATCGGCGGTTTTAGGTGTGGGATAGGTGGTGCACGCCACCCTTAATTCACTGTATAAATCATGGTTGCTCCACCTATGGCGTCCGCCGATAGCCATCATAAAAACAAACGTGCTCCACTCTTAATTTTTATTTGGGTAGTAAGTGCGATCAGATAGTGATGTAAAATCTCATTTAATCGAGAAAATTATTCCTGATAATTAATGCTGTAAACTTCTTCAATATTGATTTTGAGAATTTGAAGCATTTAAAGCGAAAATCGAGAATGAATACTTTTTGATAATTGGCGAACTTATTTCGTCGAAGATGCACTCGAATAAAATCGAATGATATTGATAAGTTCTGGTATTCTAATTAGGTGCATTTATTACGTGGAGCAAAACTTCATGTTAAATAGATTCATTTAATAGGTTACAAAACCGTTATCAGATTAAATTATTCCTGATACACATACAATCCTAACACATACAATCACACTGAAGTATACTGCTTTTCATAAACACCCACAAGATTTAACAGTTGAGTAATTGTACTTTCACCGCACCCATGTCATCGAAACGAATAATTTAGAACTTAATACACGGGCATCGACATGGAAGGTACTTAATATGACGAAGAATTTGTTCAATTTATCTGCAAAGGATTGTGAGTGAAACTTTCTTTAGGTGCATTTAATGACGAAAAACAAATATCAGAGGATCAATACACTCATGATGCAGTAGTCGAGCAAATAAACCAAATGCTCATGTTCTTCAAGCTTGAACGTTGACGAAGACACCCTGGCACGTGCATGTTGCAGTGTGGTCAGAATAGGTGTCATCAAATCCTCCATACCAAATCACGAAGATATTTGTGTATTCGTTTTCCACAGGCGGGCTCGTCATCGTCAGGTCGAGCTCGCTGCCGTCAGACCAACGGAAGACACCGTCGTCTCCTTTGTTTAGGCCAACCCATATGTTTGGATCTGGTTAAAAAAAATAAATATACATAGCGGATTGAAAAAAGTCTGGGTAATGTTATATTATCGTCAAGAAAACGATTGAGTAGATAATGGAACACAAGCTCGATTCTGTAACATGATTAAAATTGTTGTAGCTACTAAATTACACATTCCGATCTAAAATGACAATCTAAATAAAAGTATGGCTTTGGTGTATTAAACACGTTAAATTTTATACCGCGATTGGTGTTGGTAATACAGAGCAAAATCAGTTACAATCAGTAATTAAAAGAAAATTCTCACCGCTCTTCAGATAATCGAAAGTTGCTCGAGTTTTGGCGGCGGGGATCCGCATGCCAGGATGAGAGCACCGAGCCACGCAAGCGGTGTACGTCAGGGGAAGTGCCTTGTTGTAGAACACGCCGTCAGGTTGCTGCTCAAACTGTTCTGTGACCGAGATAAAATTTTGGATGAAGTAAGGAATCACTTGTTTGCTATTTTTGTCACAGAATATTTTTTGTTACAGAATTCTGTAACTGTAACTATGAAGGCTGTAAGCATTTTCAAAGCGAAAGCTCCAGAATTTACTTATCCTTTGGTATTAATTTGAATCAGGAAGCTCATTCTCAGTTGTGTTTATAAAACCGTGAATGTTTCAAACAAATGAGTTTCCCAGATAAATATCCGTGTGGAAATAATGTTAGTTATAAAGTAGTTATAGAATATAGATTAATAGAACATGCAGGAAAAAGAAGTAAATAAATAAAATAAAAAAGTGACCCATCTCTAGGCACCCCTTCACCTGAGTACTGGTAAGTAGCTCCGCTGGACTCCGAAGTCTGCCCGAGCTTGTCGCTGATCGAGAGCGCACGCGCCGCTGGCGTTGTAGGAGTGCGCGATGCAGCGGCTGTCCACGAAGCACCGCCCGCGACACGCACCTAATGGACGAGGTTACGAAAATGGTAATGGATTTGGGGCACGACCCAATTGCTGTGGCATTTTTGCACTGGTATGAATTGGTGCTAATATTGTGACGGATGAATTCTGCGATCAATATGTGATTTGGGCTCATGTCTCAATCTCAGGACAGTCAATAGTCGGTGATTTATGCTTTATACATTACAGATTTTTATCATTATTAACATACTTTAAATTTTTAAAAATTAAGTTAGTCTGAAATGCATTAATTGCGAAAAGATTATTTTAATGGAGTGTTTGAGTAGAAGGAGTGTTTGATTCAAGGAGTTTTATTTGAGGAATATTTGATTTAAAGGAGTGTTTGATCTGAAGTGGTATTTGATTTGAAGGAGTGTTTGATTTGATGGAGTCTTTGATTTAAAGTGGTATTTGATTTGAATTGGTTTTCGATGTGAAGTGATGTTTGATGTAAAGGAGTGATTGATTTGAAGTGGTGTTTAATTTGAACGGAGTGTCTTAATTGAAGGAGTTTTCGATTTGAAGGAGTGTTAGATTACAAGAAGTGTACGATTTGAAAGATTGTTAAATTTGGAAGAGTATTAGATATGAAAAGAGTGTTTTATTTGAAGGATTTTTTAATTTGGAGGAGTCTTTTATTTGAAAGTGTTTCATTTGAAGAAGCGTTTTATTTGAAGAGTGTTTGATTTGATGGAGTATTCGACTTCGAAGAGTTTTTGTTTTGAAGGAGTGTTTGATTAGAGTCTGAACTTGCTAGCACGACAAAATTGCATGACGAAATATTCAGCGATGAAAACTCACCAATCTTCTCATGATGGCAAACCCTGTTTCTAACTGTTTGTGTTAGGTCTGTTAGATGGGCTACCGCGAATCAATCGAATTTTCGGTACAGCAATCGTTAGAAATAAAAAAAATTCGGTGAAGCAATCTTCAGAAATATTTCAAGAGTTTTTAGTCTGAAACTTGATTGCAATCTGTTTAATTATGTTGGTAGAATAATCCTTATTTCATTCAGGGGCAATTATTGATTTCCGTTTCCAGTTGTCCATTTGAGCATTAAATGATGCAAGCTGCCTCTAAATGCTGCAGCAGTGATTTTGAACAAAATATTAGCGCGTCTTCACCAGAAATTATGATAATTTTCTAATACATTACTTTTAATGACAGATGATGATTTAGCCTCCTTACATTCAGAAGCTGCCTGAGAGAGGTGGTAAGAAGCGTTCTCGTTGATCTGCACATCTCTGACAACCACTGACGTTTTCTCCATGGTTCGTATCAAATATGCAGCAGGTAGCACGGAGTTAGCAGTTGTTAAAGTCAGCATCGCTGCACTTGAGAGGAAAATTGCTGCGCAGGACATTCTTCCCATTGCTTGCTTTGGACTCTGTTTGGGAAAGTAACATCTTGCTTACATTTACAATTTAACTATCAGCATGAATTGACGTAGCGATAGTTTGTTAACAAAAAATCTACAATTAGTTTACCAATTTAAAACTGATAAACTATTTAGCTTTAGCTTGTCGATAAACTTTAGCTCATAACCAAGCAGATTCGACATTAAATTTAAATGATCTTATAGGGTTAGTCATTAGTCCCGAATTTATAATTTTCAAGCCATTGACGTTGAAAAACATATTGCATGCTTCTTAAAACATGGCCGCCATAAATGTGAGGTGCAAAAAATAAGTTGTGAACACTGGTTCATATTAGTTTGATTTAGTATTTATTTATTTTGACGTATGCAGCCCGACCTTTTACACGTTTATTTACTGCTGAACTGCAGGCATGCCTGAGTTTAGCGCTGCACAGCGCCACCGCCGCGGCTTAATTAATTATGATGGCAGCGAAGCGATAAAGCGCGGGCGTTTTGATTTAGCCTCTAAGCGAAGTAATAACTAACAAATTTGTTCCTTCGAAACTTGGCTAAAGTAATAAAACTCAAATTATTTTATATGAATATTATATCAAATGTTTAGGTCATATTATCTAATGTACGTCATAATCAATTTATCTTGTAACGAAATTTTCTTTTAAAGGCAGAAAAAAGCCCTGGCAAAAAAGGAGTCTCATTATAAATCATGATAGAGAAATCTCTTCCTTCTCGTGACACCTTCATTATATACGGTACCGGCACATCGGTAGGCTCATGAGGCTTTTTCATGAAAAAAGAACATCTTGGTGTTCTGTAGTCTGACATATTTGGTCCCAAAGTCCAAAGACTACAAAACACCAAGTCCAAAGTCTGATATATTTGGTCCCAAAGTCCAAAGACTACAGAACACCAAGTCCAAAGTCCAAATACCTTTCGAGGCCAGTAAGTTTGACCCCAGCCAGCCCCACCACGGTAGCTAGTCCAAACCTTGTAATATACTTTCTTCTGCCATCCACGATTCGTGTTTTACTTCATTTCCAGCACTTCAAAATTGATATGAAATAATGTGGTAATCGTAATAAACGTTTTGAAGTACTTGGACTTACGTGACCTTGCCAAGTGAATGTCGTTCACAGCTTTGAACAACGAGCGGGAGAATCGGAAATTTCAAGGAAGATGCACGCCGTTTACAATTGCTCAGTAACATTTTTTAATTTCTACGTTTTAATATAAAGTGTTTAGCAGCGGTTAACTGGTCCTCGTACAAGATTAAATGACCAATTGGTTCAATTAATTTTAAATTTGCACATGTGATTTTTTCCGAATATTTATTTACAAATCTATCATTTTACACGGTAAATGTTTTTTGTTCTGTGTCGTGAAATAATTTTGAAATTTCTCGATACAATTCAATTATTTTCCAAATGCACTATTATTGAAGTTTTAAAACATTAAGTACACTTCCCGGGAACCTAAGTCACCGATCTGGTGCCGATCGATAGAGGGCCTTGTCATTTTTACGACACTCAAGCTAACCTGTGGAGTAGCACAAGTCTGTTGATTGACTGACAATTCCTTTATAAACGTTCTCCAATTCATTTCTGGCAATACTTACAACACTAAAATACGTTTTTTTCGCGTTATTATTGTTTTTACAAGAAATTTGGTGAGTTTTTCCTAGTGGTAGACATGCACCATGCAAAAGGTTCGCATAATTACTTGATTTTATTAAGTCAAATTTGAATATGTTCAAGATGTATAGATGATGTGAATCAGGGTCGTCGAAACTGAACATTTACTCGATAAAATGACTAGAGGGGAGGCGCAAATCGTGATATGTGCTTATAATTCTGATGTATAGACTATATTGCACGACATATACAAATGCAGCACTGTGGTACTTGATCACTGACCAAAAATATTGCACTCGTATAACTTATGAGCAGTTGAGCACGTATAATGGTTTTATCATCAGATTATGAGGATGATTATGTTAAGTCACTCATTAAATTAATGCTATTATGTGCTCTAAGATAATAGAGATTAAAAAAATCATTCATATTCGTTCAAATATGAGTGATTTTTGCGAACAAGTTTTTATGTGTGTCTAATTTGTACATGCATATATATAGCATAATATATGGGAGCAGAAATAGTAAGGCTTCGTTTTTCTAATAAGTGAGAGTCAGTGCGTCTGTGTTAAAGTGAAAAATACTAATTTCCTATTAATTTTAGCAAACTTACCAACACGATTTCAGTACTGTTGATAAGAAGCAATAATGATGAATTTCATTTCAAAATCCTATTATTAATTATTCTTACCGAGTAGTAGTAGTATGATGGCTTGCCAGCGCTTCAGCTTATTCTTGCCGAATAAGAGTTCTTCAGAACATTTAATTCGTAAAGACTTACCTCACTTTGCGTCTTATATTTCAACGTCGCACCTAACACTAGAGATGAATTATTTTTATTCTTTTATAATTATTATTATTAGATTGCTGACACAAGCATTGTGCTAGGGGTGCTCTCTACTTGACTACTGGCGAAGAATTGGCTTGGAAGCGAACAGTTCATTTCACGGTGCAGTGGTCGGGTACATATATAAAATTTATTAAGTATTGATTTCTCTGACATGCCAGTATTGTCTTCAGTCTCTCTTAGCTCTAATTGAGCTCGTACATCAGAGAATACTGGTCCGGAAGTCATTAGTTGCTTAAATTCACTGTAATGGAGCATTACACTTCGGCCTCCCCCGACGCTGCTCTTCTGAAGAGAAATAATGTAGCATCCATCAAGGAATGTCAATTCGAGTACATCAGTATTTACTGGACTCTCTGTTGATTTATATGAAATGCTCGTCTGAGAAAACACATCACTAAAGGAGAGAAACGTCAAGAATATAAAACTTCTTGGTTATATAATTTATCGCAGCAGAGAAATACGTTTGACGATATTAATTTTTTTTCTGTCCTTAGTATAACCTAATATATTTTCGCGAAATATGAACCTTTTCATCATGTGCGTATCTACAATATAGTTTGCGTGATTCAAGGCTATCCAAAGTTTATCCTGATAGCGTGGTTCAGAGGCATTAAATTTTGTTGATGTACTGTGCTTCAACTGCACTTTTTGCTTT